GGCTCCTCTCCCAGTTCTGGAAGGGACACTGCAGGGACAGCCTGCACAGCAAAACACCTGGCCCTGAGGAGAGGAGCACCCAAACTGCTCTCAACATGCTCTCCATGCAAGTGAAAGTTGGCCCAAAACATCCCCTACCTTTTGGTGCTCCCTGATGGCTCTGAAGCTGTGGGATTTCATGTGGTGGCCCCAGCAACCCAGCCAATCATTGCTCTCTACAGGAAAAACAGAAAAGTCCATGACTGAGTACCCTGCCACTCATTACACCCTCTCAACTCGCCAGCACACCATTTCCTGGGGCTAGCAGAAGTGTGCCAGGGATGCTGCACAAAGCACTCATACTGGCTACTGCAAAGCTGCCAAAGGGGCAGTGTGGGATCCAGTTAACCAGGTGAGTCATATTCTTGCAAGCATGACCACTGCAGGGACCTGGGCAGGCACAAGGCCAAAGGAATGGCTTTAATACCCCAGCACCTTGACTTCCCTGCTTTACAGTTGGCAAATGAAGCAAACTGCAAATCAGTGCAGGATTGCAGAGGGACATGCTGGATGGCAAAACATCTCAGGACTTGCTCTGTCCTCTGTGTTCCATTATAGCCTCAAAATGATTTGCACAGAAGTTTCCTGATCCATGCAGGGACCCTGGAAGTACTTCTGGGAGATCACTCTCCAGGGTATGGATCATATCTACCAATGCTCAGTACTTCTCCAGCCCCAGCCCTCTCCTACATGTCTTCAGCAACAAGATTCCCAACCCCTCATGAGAACTTTGGCTATGGTGAGAGAGGGCGGTTTCTTCCTTAGTACATGGGGACAAGGGGCAGCAGTGCTGGCGCTGGCACCAGGGAATTGCCAGCCTCCTTAGAGTGGCAAGCCAGAGCAAAGCTGCTCCACATGCTGCCTCAGCTCCTGACAACCCAGGAGTAAGTCCTTATGGTCCATGCCAAAGACAAGTCAAGAGGGAGATCAGGCCCTGCCAGGACCCACAGATCTTGGATACTGCCAGTTAGATAGGCAGGAAAGGGAACCCAACATCTTGCTGAGGATGTGCAGAGCCTATATTGTTTCTGCTCTGCTCTTTGCAGGCAGTCTGGATTCTTGTGCCCACAGGACGGAGGCCAGGGAGGACATGATGTTGCCTCCCACAACTTACTTTTGCTAACTCTGAAGTGGGACCTGCCAATGGTTTGCTTCACTATGTTCGGTGTGACTGTGCACATTTTCCATCGCAGCAGCTTCCTCTGCTCCCAAGGCAGCTTTTCCACTAGGAAGGCAAAAAGTTAAGGACCGAAGGAAAAAAAACAAACCTTGGATTTTCTACAGCTGAAAAATTCTTATGGTCAGCTGCACAGGCACCAGGCTTGCAGAGGAGAGTTAGTAACCCCCTTTGCAGAACTAGCATGGAGCAGAAGACTCCACAACTGGGGAAGATCCAGGACTCTGGAAAATTTGGTGGCCATCTGAGTCATGCTCCAGGTTATGGGAGCAGCATAATTTACTGGAGCCCTTTGGATCTCACAGCAATGCTGGGTCTCATCATGGGAAGGGTGAAGGGGAGCCACTGCCAGCCAGCTCCTGGCTGTGTGCTGACACCACTGTTCATCAGTAACAGGCTGGCTGCTCTCACCCCATGTGGCAACAGAGCCTGGCTCACCTCTCTCATCCCGAGTACTGAAGTAGATAGTTGGAGGCACATTAGGGAATAAACTGCAGACAAGAGCTGGTTTGAGCACTTTCTCCTGACCCTCAGCAGGCCGGGCCAGGCACGCCTTCCTAGGAAAGACGAAGCAGTAGGCGGTTGGCTAAAGGTGAAAAGTAGCACAGGGAGGAAGTGGGAAGCCTGAAGCAGCACTGATCCTGGTATCAGGAATTTACACCATCATCGCAATGTGGTGCAAGCAACAGGCACTGAGGTCAGTAACACAGTCTGCAGCAATCAGGGGGCGCGTTTAATATGAATGCACATGCCATGTAACCACTGTGGGTTTTGTGTTTTGCTGGGGCAAGGAGTGGAGATTTTTACATGACAAACCCTATAACCTAGTCCACAGGAACAAGGGGTGGTGATCCTAATGCATATATAATTCAGCTGTTGTAACCCTCTTGATTTAGGTGTGCTGCAGAAAAGAGGGCTGGAGTTTTACCCACTGTATATACCTTACCACAGTAAGCCCCAACACCTGGAAGGAAAGGTAGAATTGCAACATATCTACTAAGGTTGTGATGAAGTGAAAAGCAGAGTTTGCAATGAACATGTATTCAAATATATGCCACTGCAGCCAGCAGAAGAAGCCACACCAGAGAACCCACTAAGTAACAGAGAGCAGCAAAAAAAAAGAATCACAACACACTGACCCCAATCTCACAGGCCACCCCTTGCCTCCCTCAAAGGGACTGTGTGTAGCCTGTGACAAGGGTATCGGAGACTAGGATGGGGGGAGAAGAGGTGTTTTCCCTAAGCCTTGCATGTTTTTTTTAATTTTCAGTCCTGGAATCAATAATTGAAAGTTTGTGAATTGTCAATGAATTACATTGATTAACATTCTCTGGCACAAAACTCATTTTGCCCACAACAAACTGAAGGCAGGAGACAGCTGCAAAGGCTTCAAAGCCAGTCCAGTGCACAGCCTGCACAGAGAAGTGGCCAACATACCTCCCTCCCTGCTGCAGGAGGCATTTGGCCCAAGCGTTGCTTCCTCCATGTGCCCCAGAGGCCAACCAGCCACATCCTGCCAGAAACAGCTACTGGGCCAATTTACGTCACCTCCACAGGACTTTCACAACCACATGTGCACGTCCAGAGCCCTGCAGCACCCTGAGTTTCAACACTTGCCCGCAGGAAGCTCTCCTTGTCTCCCAGATTTGTGATGATATGATGGAAAGCAGCAAGTTGTGGGCAGACAGCAAAGCCTGAGGCAGCAAGACCAGCTCCCATTGGATGGGGCAAGAACAGGTCCCACAACAGTATGCCAGGAGTCATGGAGGCAGGGCTCAGATGACCACAGGCCAACCAATCCACCCCAGACAAACCCCCTCCCAAAAGCTATAGAAAAGCCCAAGCTCTGGGAGTTATTTCTAGGATGCAATGCTGAGACATGAGACCCCCTAGGAGCTTTTGCAATCTCTGGCCCAGGACACCTCCACTCTGCTTCGTCTGCCCCACCACAGGGGGCAAAGATGGACAAATATGCCAAGTTCAATGCATTGTTTACAGCTACTAACCTGGATACAAGAGTCACAGAGCCACTGGATGACACGCCAGCAACAGAGAAAGCATCTGAGTCACCTGCAGGAGGGGACAGACTCAGGTTTTGTCTCCGTGGAGAGTGAATGCACACAGAGTTAGGAAGGGAAGAGAGAAAAATGCTCCAGGGGACAGGGCCTTCAAGTCAGTCCAAATCCTTGGATCCTGGGTTTTGCCCTCTAATTGGTGTCATAAAAAGGGAAGGGGTCAGAGCTGACAGCCCTGCACAGAGAGGAGATGGGTAAGTTCTGGGGCAGGGCAGTGATGAGCCCTAGCCTGCTGCCCAGAGGAACCCACGCAGTTCCTCCTTGCTGTTACATCACCTTTGGGTTCAGCACAATCCCTAAGTCATCCTGAAATGACAGCATGAATGTAAGACAGGAAGACAGCTGTGCTTACCCTCAGCTCCCAGACAGTCCCAGACCCCCCACTTTGAGGCATGGAGCTCAGCCCTCCCCGGGAAATCAGCACTCACTGTCCTCATCCTCCTCCTGACTGCAGTTCTCATCCAGGCCATCAGGAAGTTCTTCCTCTGCTTCATCCTGGGGATGCCTCAGCTCCAGCAACGACTGCTCAGCAGTGGCACTGGGACAAAGGACATCACATCAGAAGGAATGGCACATGCTTTCTAAGGCCAAAAATCCCAGAAGCCCAGGAGGCAGCATGAGATAATGTAGGTAAAGGAAATGAGAGCACTGCCCTCTCCAGTGCTGATGTACAAGCCAGCAAGATGGAGAGGCCCCAGAGCACTGTGAGAGGGAACATGTTCCAGAGCAGCCAGAAAGAAAGAGGCAAAAGGACACTTTCTCTCAGCTAGAGAGCAGCAGCAGGAGCTCTGTGTCCTTGTGCCCTCCCTGTCCTGCATCATCTCTGCATTCCTTTATGAACCCATGCCTCTGCCTACAAAAGCCTAGTTTGACAGCAGGCTTCACTCACCATATGTGCAGAGCCTGACACTGCAGGCAGGGCCCTGTGACTGCAGGGAACAAGCTAGGAATGCCACACAGCAATTCCATGCTGTGGCTGAAGGAGAAGGTGGAAGAGCTTGGAGCCATTCCAAGTGCCTGCATCAAGCTAGGGGTGGCAGGAAGGCTCCCACCACACCAGGGTACTGCAGTTGGGTTTTGCTCAGGAACACAGCCCATGGTTATCCTTACAGCCACCCCTGTCCTGCCCACACGGCATCCTCTCCCAACACACACTGACACAACAGCCATTCCAGCTCAGCCCATTCTGCCACAGCCTCACTCCTCCTCCTGCCTCTACTTACTCAAGTTTTCCTGGGACCACAGCCTGGGGCCATTTCTCCTCTTCCTCCAGCTGGATGGTGGACATCTGTGTTGCCACTTCAGAGACAGCAGCATGGTACAGAGGCTCTGCTCTCACCACCCGCTCCCTGCCACAGGGGCTCAGCATGCCCACGGGCTGGCAGTTGGTGCTGCAGTCGGTGCTGCAGTCAGGAGTGCCAGCGCATGAGGCCAAGAGCCGGACACGGATACACTTAGTGCAGGCAACAGCACCATTGGTGCCTATAAGGCTTGAGCTACTGTTAAGGCGATGGCTACCCAGCTCTGAGTTCAGGGAAGCGATGGTTTCTTTCAGGATGGGCTGTGCTACAACATGCTGTTCCCACCTGTTGTTCCAGTTGGACATGCTGTCCACGTTTGTAAGGCCAGAACTTTCGACTTGGCACCCAAAGCCATTGTGTATGGTGGCCTGACCGGCTAGCTGCTGCACAGTCTCCAAGTGGCTCATCTCCAGCTCCTTCTCTTCCAAGCTGGGCACTCTCCTCTCAGTGCCCTCCCACAAGCACTGGTCCTTCCTGAGGATCGCACTGCTTGGCACAGGGATCAGGGAGGGGACTGTGGTTTGCTCCAACATAGGGTCACTGCTTGTCACTGCTCTATTGGTCAGGCAGCTGGGGAAGCTGTCTCCATTGTCCCTAGTGTGGGGCCATGAGGCAGTAGGAAAACTGTGGGTGTTTTCCACCTTCTTCATCTCCAGTGACTGCAGAAAAGGCACTTTAGCACTGCTTGGCCGTAGGAAGGAGCTGTCACTGAGCATTGGTCTACAGGAGCTGGCAGCCTGCTGATCTAAGCTGAGGACAGAACCTTTCACCCCAGTCCCAGAGTGCTCCTCTGCCACCACAGGCAGCTGACAGGATTCCATCAACAGGGAAGACATCACCCTTCCTGTGGCAGACCCAGTGTCCAGAGGGCTTTGGAAAGGAAACCTGCAGGGCTTGGCTCTGATGGAGAAGCGTCGTTAGAGCAGAGAGCTCCCATCCAGGTCCAGGCAGAGCTGGGCCAAGGGCAGGCTCGGGAGGGCGTCTTCAGTGCGCTGTGCGTGGCATAGCGACAACGGTGAGCACAAGAAGCAGGATTGCTGCAGAGGGATCCCTGAGGACAGCAGGATGCGTTCCTAGAAAGCACTCACATACCTCTTCTCTAAATTCCAGGTGGGTTTTGCCTGCTGCTGAGAGGAGCCAGGCCCAGTACGGATGAGGTCTCCCTGCTGGAAGGGCACCTGACTCAAGCCTAATGCTCTTCTCCTGTTTGGGGCCCAGATTAACATGGTCTGGTCCTGCAGAGGCCATGTAGAGCCATAGCACATGAGGCACAAGCAAGTCAGTCATCTAAAGCAGCATCTTTGCTGACCTGAAACAAGAGGACAGCATGAAAGGCACTGTTACCTCAGCAGGGTACAGCACCCAACCCAGTGCCCCAGGAAGGGAGCAGGGCAGGCTGCTTTTCCTGCAGGAGGAAAACCACATGTCAATCCGCTGAGCAACCCAAGAGCCTCCTAAGACCAAGTCAAAGAAAAGCTGGGATCTCACATGAAACCCGGGGATGCAAAGGACAACGTAGAGAGGCCTGTGGAAAAAGTGCCATCTTCAGGAAAGCTTGTACTCTACAAGCACACAGGGGTGCCTGACTGTCAGCCAGGGTCACAGGGCAGCAGCCCCAGCACAGTAGAGCTGTCTGCAAGGAGAAGCTGCCTGCCTTGGAAGCAGCTGGAACCCACTCCTAGTGGTCTGTGTCTTCAGACTGCACCAGGTGTTCCACCACCAGCTCTCCCAACTCCACCACAAGCCCCAAAACATCTGCTTCCTTTTTTTTTCTCCCCACTCCTTCAACCTTAAGCTCCCAAGGTGAGAACCTCAGCCCTTGCTTTTAAAAGGAACATGCTTCTCACTTTTGTAACTCCAGAGAATAGCTTAGCAAGGGCTGAAGGCACCCTAAAGAGCTCAGGACTGAGAAGGCAGTGAGGAGCAAATGCAGGGCTGTTCTAACATCCAACATCTCAGTTTCCAGCAGAGACAGGCAGTAACGTGCACAAATGTTCCTCCCCACTGCAGTCCTACAGAAAAGTCTCCTGCAGGGAGCAACTGGCAGACCACAGAGCTGCAGACATAAATGTCCTGAATTCTCCTAGAATGAACTATTGCACCATACCTGTAACATCCTCTTGCCTGGGGAGAAGGGAAAGAAAAACAAACCCCAGTTATTTGTCTTGCTTTAACACATGCCTGGAGGGCCTCTGGTTACAGCTGCGATAGGAATTTATATTCCAAGCAGGCTGGCTGGCTGGCTTGCTCTTCCACCTTCCAGCTCTCACATGCTTGCATGTTCAAGAAAAAAAAGAAAATATAAAAAAAGGGTAAGCAGAACATCAACTATCACCTTCTTAGTTTTCTTGCAATACAATTTGTCTTGCTTTAACACATGCCTGGAGGGCCTCTGGTTACAGCTGCGATAGGAATTTATATTCCAAGCAGGCTGGCTGGCTGGCTTGCTCTTCCACCTTCCAGCTCTCACATGCTTGCATGTTCAAGAAAAAAAAGAAAATATAAAAAAAGGGTAAGCAGAACATCAACTATCACCTTCTTAGTTTTCTTGCAATACACATACACACTCCTTTCTCACCTGAAAGTCAAGCCTCGTATGCAGCAGTTAAAGTGCAGCTTGGAGACCCTTGGGTTGCTCTGTAGCACTGTGACAGCAGCTCAGACCACCCCAGGGCTGGGTCAGACAGACCTACACCTGCCAGATCTTCTCAACCTGTGAATCAGCCCCAGTCTCCAGCAAACACAAGGTCAGTGGCATCTCAAACAGAGGCTGTACAAGGTGGAACATCCTATGCAGGATCCCATAGGAGTTACACATTCTCGAAGAGAGGTGCTGCCCTGCCAAGTATGGCAAGGGAATATGGAAGGTGCCAGGTCCACTGCACTGCTTGTTAGCACTTGTACAATCACACTGAGAACTTCTGATGCAGACAGGGCACCTGCAACCCTGTGGGAGCTGCAGGCCAGAAGGATTCTGAGCCCCAGGGGAGGGAATCCCACAACTGAGATGTACTGCACTATTTGATTGCTACCCAATCTGCCCCTAGCAGCAAACCTGGCTGTGTTGTGACATTCACAGTGATTAGCACAGAGCGAAGAAGCTGTGGCTCAGATGCCGCCTCCTTGCCTGACTCAAGTTTCCTCCGGTAAACAAGGGAGTGAAGTTCAACTTCCGCACACTATGCCCTCTGATGCACTCAGGTCACAAATGTGCTTGAACCCCAGGGCAACCCCAGGGCACCAGTGAACACAGGTGTGAGAAAGCAAAGTAAAATTCAAGGAGGTGAATGAAAGTGTTCTCGATGTCCCTGCACAGAGGGGACTGTTACTGTGGCACCACATGGGCTGCCAGCTTGGCCATTGCCTGTGCTCTCACCCGGCTGTGAATGACCTTGCAAAACCAGCCGCAGTGAAAGCCATCTGTGCCTCGTCTCCACCCGGCTTTACAGCTATCAGTGGATCATCCTGCTGTAAAAATAAAAGTGATGGGGCTTAATGAAGCTGTAACAAGGGATGTGAATCTTACAGCCAGCTTACACACAGGTGCGAGAATGCCAGCAGAAGCCCTGTGTGACCCTGATCTGGAGTAAGTGACAACGGCAGCACAGGTGTGACCAGCACAGACATGGCAGTACTGCCAGCAGCTACAGGTGCCAGGGTGGAGGTCTGGCCATGGCACAGCCTTAGATGCCATCACCTGCTCTGTCATGGCTGGACCCCAGCCCCACAATGGCAGAAGGACGACATGCTGAGCTTGCCCCGCTCTGGAGCAGTTTTGTCATGGAGCTGCAGAAGCAGCTGGGCTGGCACAGGGCAGGGGTGCACTGGAAGCAGCGACTGCAGAAGTGGCAGAGCCTTTAGTACAGCCTCCAGGTAAGGACTGTGCTGGCCAACAGCTAGTAACCACCACTGTTTCCCTGTGGAGACACAGGAGCTCAACGATAGGGTCAGGAGGGGCAGGAAGGATGAAAGGAAGTTGCCCCCACACGGAGTAGGTCAGGATACATCCTGACTGGCAACACCAGCTCACGCTGCCTGTCCTTCCCCCCAGGTCCTTCCCCTCACCCACCCTTCTGTCCCACCTCTTGCATGCCAAAACAGCAACCTCTGAAGTCGTTTGCAAACCATTTCCTGTCCTCACTGCAAGGACAGCTGGCAAAGCAACCGCTGAGCATCCAGAACTGGTGGAGACTGAGGCACTTTCACATGCCTAGCAGCAGTGGGCACGACAGCAGCTGTCACATCACTGTGGCTCTGGGCATGAACATCACCATCTATCCCAGGGTAAATCTTTGCTGGTTACCAGTCAGGAAGTTTCTGCTTTACGTTTAACTCAGTCAGAGTGTTGGGGTGGAGGAAGGTCACAGCTTGATGCAGTTCCTAGTTCTGCCAACCCAACCCTGCGGCAAAGGAACTAGAGTCCATTCTGCAGCTCACAACAGCAGTAAAACTACACTTTGAAATTTTATTGTAGAAACATGAGCAGGGAAAAGCCCAGGGTGAACTCACCAGGCAGGAATTCAAACCCAAACAAGTAATTAATGGATTTTGGCTTGGACTTATAGGCACACAATACAGAAGCCAAAGCTGTCACTGTTGGAGTGACCATACAACTGCACTTGCTTGCAATTATTTTGCTAGCACCTTTTATTGCTGCACAGGCTGCTCACAAGCTTCAGGACGTCAGCTGGAGCACTGCCACAGCCTGTACGAATGCCACATCACAAGTGCACCGGGCTAACATGCCCCCAGCCTCTGCACACCCCAGTACGCATCAGTGGAAATCCTTTCTTTCAGCCCGACCCTCCCTGTGGCATGTGCTCCTCTAATGGCAGTGTGGCAGCTCCTCACAGTTCCATTCTTAACAGCAAAGGGCAAGACCATAAGAGCCTGGGTGTGCACATCACCTGCTGTCACAGGAGTTTGGCTAGGGAGGTTATTTTAAACACAGCTTGGTGACACGCTTAAAATAACAAGAGCTTGCAAATGTATGCACTGCGAGCTGACCTGATAATGTGCTGTCAGGCTCACACAGCCCAAAGTCACACGGGTGGGAGGTTAGACAACTGCTATTGTTTTCTACGCAATTGCAGGGTGCAATTTCTGTTCTTTATTATTAGAAAAGATAACATCTTTTTCTAAACAAGACCTGAGTTCACACCGTGTTCCTCACTCACACCTCTGGGGCTCGAACAAGCAAGTTAACAACAATGCAAAACAAACAGGTTTTAAAACCAATATACATTTCAAGTTATCCCTTCAAAAATTTTTTTAACTTCTAACAAGATCAAGAATATTGATCTGAAACCAACTGACTGAATGCCTAAAGCTGCTCTAATAAGTGGTAGCTAGGGACAAACTTGTGTTTCAACATGAGAAGCATCTGACTGTCCAAAATGATCCTTTAACCAAGCAGAGCACTGTCCTGCAAGAAGAGTAGACCAGCTCCAGTGTGCACTCCCATTCCTGAGATGGAGAAAGATCTTCTAGGCAGCAGGGTGCTGAACCTAGCTGTAGGAGAGCTGGAATCCAGCCACCACCTCACCCTGTGCCTCCCTCCATGCACACATGGGCTGGGCTGGGGACTGAAGGCTCATGTGTTTGAGCTCACATGGGACTTTGCCACTCCTCCCGGGGCACTGGAGCCAGACCAGGCAAGGAACTCTGGTGTGGTTAGGCAGAAAATCCAGGGCTGCAGCTTTGCCACTGAGAGAGAACAGCAGTAAAGACAACTAAAATAAAGGACTAGCTCAGTGCTCACCCCAGGAGGGCTGACCTGGCTGTGATTAGACAGTGCAGGGGCCACACCAGAGGGTGAAAGGTGCAAGGAGTGGAGGCCCCATTTCTGTGAAAGGATATCAGCTTTTCTCCCTGACAGAGTCCCCAAGCCCCAAAGGGGATGTGACAGTGCACTGCACAGATCTGCTTCCCCAGCAGCAAAGCTGTGAAGTGCCTGCCCTTGCTCCCATCCCTGATTTATACCTTCTCATCATATGGGCTATGGAAGCAGCTGTACCACAGCATTAACAAGAGTAGGGAAACAAGTCTGGGTTAGAAGCAACAAGCTAGTGTTTGACAGCCTTTCACCAAGAAAGTCTGAAGGCCCTTCCTGCAGACCCAGATCGAAGGGACAGCATTTTCAACTGAGCTTCAAGATGGGAGAAAAGGTACAGGAGAATCACACAGTGAGATCTAGGAAGTGTTTGGCCACCAGTGCAGGAGCTGACAGGGGGTCAGCACAGCTCCAT